CATTACCTCACCCTTCCATCTCACGTCGTTTGTGCACCAACTATTGAATCTGTCAACCGAAGACTCGATGAAACCTTGGTATCCCTCACATTCCTACACCACTCAAAGCAAACGTAAATTCAGTGAAGCCTACATTCTCTATTATCTCCTGCCTGGAACTGTTTGAGACTTTTTTCGCCGTGAAAAGATTCAGTTGTGTAAATATCCTATGGGAACAAGAGAAGCATGAGCTTGTAAGTAATTCCTAAAATAAAACTTTGACTTTGAAGTTCATGATTTACTTGTGCCTGTAAAACGAGTTTTACAAGTTGTGGATTGACAGAACAAGTTTAATGAACAAGCTCGTATTATTTATCTGGCAAATCCAGTTGTATATTCGAACTTTAGCAAACTGTTCGTAGAAAGATTTCTCAATACATTCTAGTTTGTGAAACTTAAACGAGACTGACGCATGAATAGGAAATAATGAATTATTTAGGCAAATACAACATGGATCATGGGATACAGATCGGTATTCAGTTGACTAACTTAAAAGCATTACTATTATGCAGTTCATTCGATATTCAGTTCAGCTTCAACATAGAATGGTAAAACCAGACGGATTTAATTCCATTGGGATCGCCTCTGGTCCCCCAATTGACTGAAATATTTGTCGCGAGGTTTGTAAACCAAGAATCTAGGGATATCATATAAGACTCACCATGCTATTGTCATTGTACTGAAGACACTTTCATTTTGATTATATAGAATGCATCGTTGAACACGGACCAGCAGACTTAACCGAGCACACAACGTGATTCATTTACTGACCGAAATCGAAATAATCAACACGTTCCATTTTTAGACGTCGATTTTATCAGGCGCTCGGATAACACAATTAGTATAACAAGCTGCAGAAAATCAATCTGAACAGATCACTCATTCCGCCGGTTTTATGCCTTTGCGGCGTCAGTGAAAATCCGCTCAATTCCTAGTGGCTCACATTATAAATATATAGTCTGCGGAAATCCTGAAGCTAGAATTAAATCGGCTAAGACAGACACCGTTGGACAATGGTTATCCCGATGGATTCACTCAAAAGAATTTCCGTGACAGAACCAAAGGACCAGTGGTGACAAAATTTAACCGTCTCTCGTTCAAAAGTGAATATTAGTGCGACTTTTTAACAAACTAGAACGTTTCCTGAGGCCTGCTTACGTCCGCATTTCACCAACCGATGCAGATTGTCATTAAATTTCAAAGGTTAACTACCAATCTTCACGTTCCTTATATTGACCTAAGCTTTTGTTTGCTCTTGTTTGGCAAGCAACATAGATAGGACGATTTGGCAGATTTCTTAAAGAATCAAGGAACACAAACACGGGAACCATGAGGACTAGTTCGAGTGCACTGACGGCGCATCTCAAGCGTAACTGACCAATTCACTATTCTGGTAATGTCAGTCTGTATGAATTCTTCATCTTCTCTTTAATTCTGTTCTCAATATTCCAAACTTTATTCTGCTTTTTTATCCAAATGAACAGCCAAAAACAGCAATAAGAGAAAGATGAGATCAAGATGGTCTGAATGAGCTCTACACCCTTCCGACAATGCCAGTTTGCAACAACAAAGGCAGTATCAATAAAGTTAGGGTAAATAATGGGTAATCAGTTTGAGGAAATCCTCTAGGTACACTAGCCAAGGACCGACATATTACCTCAGTTAATCCTTTACCCTCCGATCTAAACCTAACCTCTCCCAACCTGTTTTTCCCCTCTCTGTCCATCTTTGTTC